TCCATTTCAACATCTTCTTCTGCGGTTTGCTGCGGCCGTGGTTCGCTCCCAACCACCCGCGGTGTAGATCCATTGAGCTGCGGCGATAGCTCATCTTCGCTCTCTTCGTCCACTGAAGCTGCGGCTGGTGTCTCGAGAATAGCGCCGAGTTGTGAAGCGGAAGAAGTTCTGGGTTGCCCGTTTGGAAGTACGCTGGGTGTAGCCGGACCAGGATCCGTAGAACGCGATCGCCGTAGTGTCGACCGCCGCGATACAGCTGACGCTTGCTCAACACCCTCGGTGGCAGGCGTCTTTTGTCGGGCACTGACAGGGGTTGCGCGTGTTTGTGACGATGCTTGTGGAGGCGTTCGTTTGATGACGGTAGACTTGGCGAAGACCGTCTTGCGTGCAGTACTGGCGCCCTCTTCCAATATGGATAGCTCGTCTGGTACGCTGTCTTGTTCTTCGCGTATGGGTAGAACCGTCCCAACGACCCTCCTGCTTTGTTCGATGGAGCGCACAGCGTCCTCACGGTCAGGGCTTAGCTCATCCTCTGCCGCGTCGTCTGCGCCTGATTGCGCATTTGGTGAACCCCGCTTCCTCTTGCCCAACTGAGGGGTCACCGTGTTTTCTTTTGGTGTAGCTTTCGGCTTTGATGCAGTGCTGCGCTGAATCGACGCGCTTCTCTGCCGTTGTGCCGAGCCATTCGCGCTCCTGGGTGTCTTCTGGGCTGGTGTTCGTCGCGGTGATTGCTGGGGTGGGAGAGAGGGTTGTTTCGTCGGTTGCGAACTGAGAGCGCCGAAGTTGAAGCCGAAAGACGCCTGCACAGATGAAGGCCTGTCGTAGTCAGCGTTTGCATGTCTCAGGAGTTCTCGAGTGTCTTACCCAGCACCGCGCACGCGCTGTTGTCGATGTTCGCGGCGATCTAGAGACGTGTGAGTATGAAATTCGGATTATGAATCCTTGAACAGAACGAACATACCGACTGGCGCCATAACAATGTGTGTCGTAACAATTCCTCGAGTTGATGTCGTCGCCGTCGCGTAATCGAGTCGTTGTTATGCCCGGGCGCATCTGAGGCCAACGCGCTAAGACATACTCGGGTGCTCGGACCCCCGACCCATGTTCACTGTCCCCGCAACTTGGGAACTTTCACCTGCTCACCTCGCGCATACGAATCTATACGCCGACACAACCATGGGCTGGCTCTGGGGAAGCGGAAATAGCTTAGGCGGGCAGGACCAACTCGACCCATCTCTCCGCGACTTCCTAAAAAAAGAGGCGCCCACTGGCCCGAAACCTTCATTACCCTCCGCTCCCAAAGAAAAGCCCGCCGAGTCGCCAACACCCACACAAGCGCAAGCGCAAACACAGACCGATCCCGAGAAGCCATATGTGCCACCGCAATCGCAATTCCAAGATGGCCGATACGCCGACCTCTGGAAGACCTACACCCCACAGGACGTCGTCAACAACCGCGGAAAGTCGGAACAAGACAAGTTACGAGACCTCGTAGACGCCTACAACGATCGCAAAGCCTCGATCGGACGAGTCGCCATGGAGAACTGTGCACTGGAATACATGAACCAATTCGAGTGTTTCCAAAATCCCAAATCATGGTGGTCGGCAGGAACCATGTGCATCGGCGAGTCGCGCAAGTTCAACCGCTGTTACGACATACAGTCAAAGTTCTTGAAGGCATTGGGATACATGACCATGGACGAGCGGTCTCCGGAGGAAGACGAGCGGATACAAATGCACGCAGATAAACTCTACCAGCGCATGATACAACAGGAGGAGGAAATGGAGAAGGCCAAGGTAGAGGGACGGCCAGTGCCCAAATTCGAAAGCATATTGTCGAAACGGAATGTCGCGGAAGCCATGAGCGGCGTATCATCGTCAGGGAAATCAGCTGTGCCGATAGCTGAGATTGGCAAATCGAGTAGCAGCATGGACGATACCGATGTGTGGAAGCAGATCAAGCCGGAAGTACGGGAAGAGTACCAAAAGAAGCTAGAGAGCCTGTCGCCCGAAGAGCGCGAGATCGAGAGGATGGCTATAGTTGGTGAGATTAGGGCGCAAACTGGTGTGGCAAAGCAGCTGGAACAGACATTTATCGAAGAGCGGGTAGCTCGTATGAAGAGGAAGGAAGCTGGCCAAGCAACAATTGGCGACACAATCAAGACGTTGTGGGGATGGTGACCACTGCTTGAGAGGTGTAAGTAGATTTTGTTTCGATGACGTGTACGATCAATTCATTGGATGAGATAACAGCAGCCATATCGCGAACACATCCGCGCACATTTCCCGTCCATACTCACAGTGCACAGTCATCGCAGATTGCATGTCGTGCGCATTGACAATGCGATAGTCTCGACTCTCACAATGCCGCGACACAGCTATAGATTCGCTAGCTCATACTTCCCACCACCGGGGTACCAGAGCCACCAACCGGAAGCTGCACGCCCACTCACTCCAGGAATCTCGAACCCCTTCCTTCGACACCTCCGCCACAATGCAGCCTTACTCTGACCACAAAGACACTTCCGAAATGCCATTCAGCATAACGGACACATTTCTCGTCCTCATCCTCGTCTTCCTCCACATCTTCATCTTCTGCCTTGCATTCGAGATATCGCGTTGGTCGAGGAGCAGAAGGATCGATTACGAAATGGCAGTGGTCGATGATCAACCGCTTCGTTTTGAAGTCGATAGGTGGCTGGTCGTCCCTGCTCAAGAAGAGCCAGTGCCTGAATATTCCGCGATTGACTCGAGTCCGCCTCCGCCGTATATCAAAGATGTCGATCTGAGTGTTTTTGTGGTAGAGGTGGACGAATAGGACGACGACGCTGTGAGTGGTTGAAGACTGGCGTACCACGCTAGGGGTGGCTACGATCCGTGTTGCAATAAACGAAAATACCTTTTAAGCCAGGAGTATACATCGCCTTAGGCGGTACTCACTTGTAAACTTTTAATATTGTGTATGCAGCAAAACGCGACACCATTTCTAGTTCACCATGGTTACACTTATCACTTTAGTACTAGGAGGAGCGAAGTAGCAAGTCCCCACTACCTCGACCATAGTTCTGGAAGAAGCGAGTACCAAGTCCCCACTACTTCGACTATAGTTCACCAAGTCTAAATGTTTACTTAAAAACTCCATTGCCTCCATTTCTCTCTCGCAAATCTTCAAACTCAAATCTCAAGAGAGATCTTCTGGACGTTCTATATCATCACGACATACAAGGATAGATTACCTGAAGCTTAAGCCACCACCACCGGCATTACCTACAACGCCGAATACAAACTCGAGCAACGAAGGTAATGTACCTCTATTGTGTGATTCAACTTCATCTTCCAGCAATGCATACACATCATCGAAGCCAAAATTAACAGTTTTATCAGCTACGCCATCAACAGACCCTACTACGCCATCAGGATCTCCACCAGAACTATCAACGACAACAATCTCAGGCTCATCTGAGACGAGTCTGGACGAAATGTTGCAACCGCAGAACCCCCGCCCTGTCGATGAGCCAGTCGAAGAGTCAGTCGAAGACGCTCGGGATGAACCGGCGACCAATCCAGCAGTAGAGGCTACTCCTGAGATGCTGCGACAGAGAGTAGAAGCAGCCCGACATCGCCGCAGAGCTCGGTTGAATCGCAAGTTACTTCTGGAGGAGGTAGCCAAAATAATGAAAAGCTGAACACCCGGGAGCCTACGTTGACGTTACATCAGCTACTTTGCATGTTTTCAACTTGATGTAGGCTACAAAACTGTTTAGTTTCTTCTAGAGGAGATGGCTAAACAAGGAAAAGCTGAACACCCTGGAGGCTACGTTGATGTTGTTCCATCTACTTTGCGTGTTTTCATCTCGATGTATGCTGCAAACCTGTTTGGTTCCTTCTTCTTCGGGTGAGGTAGACGAGTCTCCTGGTTTGTATTTGCTTGAACAATGTTCTTGAGGCAGTCTACAGTCTACTATAACAATGGACGCCGTCTGAAAGACTATTCACGAACAATGATTGCGACAGTCCAAACACACCGTTTCCACCAGAGACCTTTCCCGGCCTCTCATCACCACAACCGAAGTCGTCTTCGCCCCGCTCTTCACCGATGGCTCAACCAAGAAAATTCAAGATGCCCTTTCCCGCACGCAAGCCGACTATCTCCCCGCCAGACCTAATCTGCTTCGGCCACTCCTGCAACGAATTCAACTCTTCCAAATTCTTCGGCACCGCAACACCCTTCCCCTTGAACTACACTACCACCTCGTCAAATCTCTTACCATCTCCAACGAACGACAAACTCTACAACGATCTATCACCCATCACCACCCCCGATCCAACCAAACGATGCTGCGCAATCTGCCACCTCCACCAAACCAGACACATACATTCTTCTGCATCGACAAAGAGAGGTATTCCGGTAGTTTCGATACCAGTTCTCACATTGCAGGATTCTCTTGTTTTCCACGAGGCTTGTTTGTTTTCGTATTTGCTTTCTGATCACAAGGTAGCTGGTCTGACTGGCGTGTTTTACGAGGAACTGAGCGAGTTGAGGAAGTGGATTGTTGCGCAGAATTGGGATTGGGCTGTTTTAGGGGAGGCAATGGATAGAGTGCTGATGAAGGCAGGGAAGAGAGTGGTGCAGGCAGTAGAAGTGGAAGAAGTGGAGGAGGTGGAGGAATTAGGAGAGATGGTGGATTTAGGGAACGGTTGTTACGTGTCATAGATTCTTTGATAGACCCTCTTATGTTCCAAGGTTGTTTAACCAACCAAAACGCGTTCTCATCACTCTGACTGAACTTTCGAGCTGTAGCAGACATGCCGCTGCACAAGTACGCTGTATCTCTTTCCCAATACCGTTAGCGCAAATAGCTTGTGCTTACTCACCTCGGGCTCCTTCCCACCACTACAGTACAGAATAAACGCATGAGCCTCTATATCTTGACTCAGTGCCCCACGTCTAACGAAAATAATCCCTCACATCCATATTTCCCTCAAACCTCGCCTCAGCGATGTCGACACCCCAATCCCGCGCCGTAGACCTGACCCTCCTGAATCTCACCGACATCTTCGGTCAGAAAGACAAGACGATGCGTACGCAAGCCATTGCAGATATCTGGGTACCAAGTTCAGATGTCTTCTTCGTAGACGCATTGGGTGTGTTCAAGTCGCATGATGCAATCAGTGAGATGGTGGAGAAGATACAAGGTATGAGTGGAGAGGGCGATGAGTTTGTTGCTTTGGGTACGTATATCGATCGACGCTTTGATTGTCGTTCCCGGGGAATTGAATTGCTAAGAAATTCATGTGCAGGCAATGTCGAATGTCTGAAACATGACAACGGAGAGGATATCTGGGTGACGAAAGTGAAATGGGGCATCAAAACAGCCAGTAGTGGAGAAATGGGGTTAACGGGTGAGGACGTCCTGACGATAGTGGGCGGAAAGATCAAAGCATGTTACACGTTTCTTGATTCGAAGTAATGTACTGCGTTCCAGGGTATCCAAACTAGCAACAACCTACTTTACCATGTCAACCCCCCACCCTCACCACCTCCTCTACTATCTTCCCTTTCCAAACCCGCCTCGGTATCCGCCTTCTCCATGAGCTCGATAACAGGCCCAACACTGTCTCTCAGCGCAGTCAATTTCGAGCGTTCCTTGATGCGCGTATAAAAGACTGGACAGTCCCTACTATCGCATTTGATCTCTTCGCCCCAGGCGAGATTCGAGCAGCGCCGGCATACCTGTTCGACTTCTGCGACGCGTGTTTCGCTGTCCCAGATGCGGTATTTGAGCGAGAGGAGGGAATGTGCTGGGCGCTTGAGACACTTTGCGCAAAGTGGGAGGACGGCGTAGGGATTGTTTTCGCTGCCTGGGATATGTGTAGGTGGATTTTGAGGTAGTTTCGAACGGCAGACCATGCAGCTTGAAGATTTCATGTAGCTTTCAAGAGTTTTCTTGAGGGATGCGTTGCCACCGGAGGAGAGGGCGTTGCTTTTGTCGTGCTTGATGGTCATGGGAATCGTAATATTGCGGATGCGCTGGACTTTCGGCATCTCATCGAACCATTGTCTTACGTTAGCGCCAACGAGATTGAAGATGCGCTCGAGTGGTGGGATAAGGTTTTTGCTGATGTAGTATTCGGCATCGAGCTCGAGATGGTCGTTTTGAAGCAGGGTCTCCGGGCTGACGCAGCGATCGATGAGGCGCGCTCCGGGTGCACCGGTGATGACTACGTATGGCACGCGTTCGCCATACTGAGGCTCGGCACGCGGGTCGGCGAGCATACGCTTTGTAGCGATGAGAGCACCGGGCGGCGGAGGACCCCTGTCAGAGTACGTGCCTAGCTTGACTTCCTTGGCGAAGAGGAAGTCTTGTATACTGACACGGCCCTCCATGATCTTCGCGCATTGCTCCTGGAAGTACCGCTTGACTTGGCTGAGGTCTGATGTGCGGAAAAGGAGCTTGAGAGCCTTCTCTTCGATCTTTTGCTCTGCAGGCGTACCGTCGCGACGGACTGTTTCGATACCCTTCGCGTCAAAGTCGGGCTCTTTCTGATTGCGGTGCTCATACTTGAAGCCAACGTAACGTTTCTTGGCAAGTAGAACGCAAGGATGGTATACCTTCTCGAACTTGAGCTTGATGGGTCGTGGGTTCGCAGCGGTGATAGCAGCGGTTATCTCCTCGCCGATGGTGAATGCTTGATCCTTGGTGCGTCCTTTCAGATGGATGAACAGTGAATCGGTGTCTCCGTAGACGACCTCCGCACCCCATTTCTCCGTAGCGTGTATCATTGCAATGGCCTTCTCCAGGGTTTCGCGACCAGTCTGGACGATACTGTCTGCTATCTCAGAGCATGGCATACGACCAGAAAACGACGCAGATGCGTAGCCGTAAGTGACGTTAGCCAATAACTTCAGCGCCAGCTGCCTGTTATTCAGTAGCTGCTGCAAGGTTCTGTCGTCTTTGTCCTGCTTCATCCCACTCTTGACCATCACACGAGTCTCCAGAATTTCGCCAAGCATCTTCGCTAGCAGCGACTTCCGCATTTCTGGTTTGACATACATCATGCCGTTGGGTGCGATGTTAATGTGGTCTTTCACCAATTCCAACAATTGCGGCTCGCGCTTGAAGTCCATGAAACCCATCTTGTTCTGACCTCGCCAGCTGACAATACGTCCGAGACATGTCGAGTAGCAATAATTGTAGGCAATCATGACACTGGGATATAACGATTGGAAGTCCAGAACGAGAACGGGGCTTGAATAGAATGCACTCTGCGGCTCCATGACGAGCGGTAGACATTCGAGCGCATTTTGCTGACCGACCTGCTTCCGACTCGGTGATACAAGAATGAAATTCTCCGGCTTTGCGATGCGGAACATGGTAGACTCGACCTTGAACTGAGAGCCTCGTGAAATGACTGCAAAGAAGTCTACTCCAAGCAGGCGAGCTTGCTCACTAGTACGAGGCACAATTTCGTTTGCTTCCAAGATGTCGAGATTGAGTTGCACACGTGTGCGAAAATGATGAATCACCTTTGTTAGATCCCTTGGCTTTCCATTTGTATACCAAGTCGTGAGATCGGAGTGTTGGTAATGCGGTATGCGTTTGTGCAGTAAGTGGAAGACCACGTTTTCCATGGTGTATTGTAGCAGGTTCAGCTCTCCGCGCATGGCTCTCCAGATGTTGATCATATGGCGGCCAGTGATACGGATAGTAGAGGTATGCGTGAAGCCCCAGCGGTCGGCCTCTTTCCCAAATCTGCCATGAGACTGCGACTTCATCCTGCTGATCTCATCGCAAAGATTGTACTCGTACTTCATCCTCGCGCGTTCGATGAGGTAACCCCAAGAGCTATTGTGTACTTCGTATCCTGTGAGTATGTCCGGGTCAAATTGGCGGACGATATCGACCACGCGGTTGATGAGATCTAGCTCGTCTTCCTCGTATTCAACTTCGACCGGAACTTGCTTAGCAATACGCATAGCGATGCCATCTTCTTCCGAGAAGCACAGTATACCGGAACGCGGTCGATCCGTGGTCGCGTTTTCTTCGCCTTGTACGCTCCAGAAAATGCACTGGATCTCATCTTCAGCCGGGTCTGGTACGAGTGAGCCTCTTGAGTTAACGTGTACTTCTAAGCTCATGATGCTCATATACTGAGCTTCGTGCTTAACACTGGTTGTCTTTTGCTTCTGTGAGTACTTGAAGCCATGAGGATTCTTCTGCGTTGGACCTTCTATCTGTGAAATGTGGCTCATTGGGTTGAATTTGCGCACCGGCATAGTTGCCGTCTCGTCTTGTGCCTTGGTTTTAGGCTTCGCCACTTTGCGTTGCTTGACGTGACGGCTGGTCCAGCGCTTCACTTCTTTGAAAGTAGGAGGAGGTCTTGAGAGTTCCCAGTGACGCAAACCACAGTTATGTGCTCGTTCTTGATCCATTGTAGCTTGTTTCTTCTTGTCTAACACAACTGCGGGATACTCTCCAATGTTGGCAAGAGAATTACCAGTGGGGTCAAAAGGAGGAAGATACGGTAATGTGGTGCTTTGTAGTTTGAACTCGCGACCCGCATACTCTCTTGGCCGATCTGGAACATCCTTCTCATCACTGTAATATGCGTCCTGATAGATTACCGGTGGAAGTCCCGCATGCATCATGGTGCCTTTGACGACCTCAGCCGGTGGGGGTAGCGCGCCGTAGTAAATAGTACGATGCTTGTGCTGGAACGATGTATCCAGCCGTCGCACTAGAGAGGCTACCTTGGAGCGAGCTTGTGAGGTACTACTGTTCGGCACCATTGGCGAGGTCTTTTGATGCGTCCATGGGGTCACAGGAACGAGTTGCGAAGGTCTGGCCGTAAGATGCTTAGGCCCAGGTGTCTTGGGCCCTTCTTGGGAATTTGAATACCCAGATTGACTCAAGCGATGAAGCGTCTCCGGTGCATTCGGGTTCTTTACTACAGGGAACGAGAAAGTAGTCGGCGCCCCTAAGCCTCGAGCTTTGATACTCGCTTGCGACGATTGACCGGGATGAGGTGGATCGTCGTTCTTGTTCAGGGCGTTGCGAAACGAGACACGCCTGTTGGTACTCTGGGTTGTTGCCAGGATTCGTTGACGCTTGTTGTAGTCTTCTTCTGCGGGTTCGAGAGAGCGCTTCCTTTGGCTCATCGGGCTGCTGGACTCTGGTTTTTTGCCGTCGTCATCGGGGTCAACTAGATCAATTCCTTCGTCGATGAGTGCATCTTCAGCTTCTATATCGCTAGAGCCCTTGAGTAAAGATACTGTTAGGGGATCCATGGATTGCTCTTCCTCGGTGTCAGAATGATTGTCGGCGTCCGCTGGATTGCCGTCTTCGCCGTCCCCAATGGGACCGTCACTGTGAGGCTGTCTGGGTTCTGGCCCGTCAGACGCAAGCTGAGCGTCAATGTCAACAGGCGCACCACCTTGTTCTAACGCGTTGACATCTTGCTCGATGCCGTCATCTGGAAGCTGCTGTGTAGACAAGACCTCGGGATAGAGATCTTCGATACTCTCTACAGCAGTCCTGATGCGCTCCTGGCCAGGGATGGGTTTCACGAAACCGTGAAATTTGGCTTCGCCCTTTCCTTGTCTTTCCTCGATGATTAGCTTTTCGATGAGTTCTCGATACTCCTCTTCGTGAATCCATCCACCGGCCTTGGTGTTCCGCATATCAGCCGACATGGACACAAGCACTTCAGCAGGAAAGGGACTGCTCGAAGGATCGGAGAGGCCCATACGACGTTTGCGCCGGCGCGTCTCGTCTCTCCAAAGACCGGCCATAGACGGCACGAATTTGTCGTCTGGATTGCGTGGCATTTGGCTCGATCGCTCTAGGAAGTCGTGGTGTATGGGTCGATATTGTAGTTCGTGCCGATTGAGGATGTCCTGGACGCATATATCGACTTCGAGAGTGCAGTGACTTTGGCGTGGGTATTGATCCTCATCGGCTATGAGTTCGTTGGGAATAGACGCATCGTGCCACTTGTGGACAGTGGTATCTACCTCTTCGCTGTCTGGAACGGGTCCCCGGAACTGGACTTTTGCGCAGTTAATCCAGTCGCATCCGTACAGGTTGTAGTCGCACATCCACTGCAGGAGGTACTGCAGGTGACTCTCATATGGCTGGAACACCCGGTTCAAGATTGCTCCTTGATGCAGCAGGTCGGTAAACCGAGTCATATGCATAGGGTTGAGCATGTAGACTTTCAAAAAAATCTTGTATCCAACACTGTATCCAAAGAAGGGTACACCCTTGACAAGAGATATGTGGCCAACGTAGATCGACTTTCCATCGTATGCATTTCGGCGGTACGCGGTGGCGAGGGCGTGGTCAATGGAGGCGCGGAGGTCCAGAATATACGCGTTGACTAGGAGGGGTCAGCTTGATACCAACTGCACGACTGACATACGCACCGACATCCTTCTCCAAGCTGCCATTGTACTCCAGGTATAGGTAAG